TATTTTTAAAATTAAATATGGAAACATAAAATATTTATTTATAAAATAATTTTTAAATTTTTTCTTAATATATGTCAATTTTAAGAATTATTACCAATGTATCTCTTTTATCATTATTTATTAATTAAATTTAAATATATTTTTTAAATGTTATATTATTTATTGTAAATCTATAAAGAAAATTATACTTTAAAACTTATGAGTATTAATTGCAATATAATTTATATGTGAATTAAAAAATTTCATTGTACAATTTAGTTAGAAATTAATAATTTATCACGTATATTGCATAAGTTAAAATATTGGTCAAAATTTAAGAGAGCTTAATAGAAGGAATTTTTTTAATATTTAAAATTGGAGAATATATTTCTCATTATTAGTTTATTTTTTAAAAATATAACATTGATGTTAAACAATATTTCTGATAGATGGTTTTAACCAAACTTTTAAAAAATTTAAGGAGGTGGAAAATAACTTTTCCATAAAAATTAAAATTTCACTTATATATATATATATATATATATATATATATATATATATATATATATATATATATATATATACTTTACATTTGGAGAGAGCATTTATAGAAGAAAAATGTCTAGTTTTCGAAGTATTTTGCAATTTTATTTTATTTTTTATTTTTTAAAAACTAATATTCCTACAAACCATCAGAATGATTTTTAGGCAAATATATTAAAAAAAAATCATGAATAACTTTTCCGAATTAAAATAAAATTCATATTTTAAAAAAACATATAACCTATTACTTTTTTTATCTCTAGAAAATTTGTATAAAAGTTATTTAATTATTCTTAAATATAATATTTTCCATTATGAAAAAAATTATCTATTACTTGTTACATGCCTCACATCGATATTTCTAATATACACGTGTTATAAAATTCATGATAATTCCACCATTTAATCTATTTTTTAGACATTTCAATTGAGAAACTATAACTTAATTTAAATGAGAAAATTACATTAATTATAGTTCGTTTAACATATTTATGTACCTTTTACCTTTTTATTCAAATTGTATATTAATTTAGGATTTAATCATATAATCAAATCGTATTACAAACATAAATTAATATTGAATTGATTTAATTTATTAAAAAAATTTCAAAACATATTTTTTTCTATTATGTTTATATTCATTATTTAAAAAAAAATTGTGATTATATATATATATATATATATATATATATATATATATATATATATTAATGTCATACGCTTCACTTTTTGTTTTTATGAAATTATATCATTCTTCTTCTTGTTATGAATAATTCAAAATAACATGACATATGTTAAAAGTTTATATTTAAAAAAATTGTATAATTAATATTTTTTCAAATAATATTCACTTTTCACATTCCAAATATACAAACTAATACAAATAATTAATCTAGTTAGTTTTTTAAAATGGTATTATCAATATACCAAAATTTACTTTTATTTTTATTATTATTTATTAATAATGTTGAATAAGGACGAAAGAAGAAACTTAATTAAAAACTATAATATATCTTATAAGTGGTCACCAAATTCTTTTAGACTATGTATATCTTTGGGAAATATTTAGTTTGAATTTATTTTATATTATTATTATTATTATTATTATTATTATTATTAATATTATTATTATTATTATTATTATTATTATTATAATAGTATACATTACAATAGAAACTATGTCACAATAAAAAATAAATACTAAAGTAATATATACTTTTACGTATTTTAATTTTTAAAAATCTGTATACAAAAATCATATTAAAATATTTTTTCCAAATAATATTAAGTTTTTTTAGTGTAAAAGATAAATAAGTAAGATTTATATTAACATAGTAAATACATTTTTAGTGAAATGCTACTCATACAATTGAAAAAGAAAATATTATTTTAACAATATTTCGTTTAATCTAATTTTTTTATTACTAAATTATAATTTATTAAAAAAATTTATGAAAATTATATTAAATTATCTTTTCAAAATAATATAAAGTCTTTACCTAAATAGAAAAAAAAGTATATATATATATATATATATATATATATATATAAGATAATATATAATAAGATAAATAAATAAATATAATAATTTTAATAGATTTAGGTAAATATAATAATTTACACAAATAAAATTACGGATTAAGCCTTGCAAATTTAATTGAGTTTAGGTTTTTTTCTTTTCTTGTTTTTACTCTTTAAAATCTACAAAAAGAATGTAACATTGACTTCACACAATTCCATAGCTAGTCAACTTATTCTCTCTCCTTATATATATATATATATATATATATATATATATATATATATATATATATATATATATATATATTCTTTTTTTCTTACGTAAAAAAACATTTTTTAAGTATATTTTAAAATAATTTTAAATATATTTGTATTTTTATTTAAAAAAATACAATTTAGTTTTTATATAAATAAAATATAAATTTAAAACCAATTATTATATATATTAATTATTTTAAACTAAAATAAATATTTTAAAATTTATAACTAATTTATTTAATTAATTAGATAATATATTTTTATGATAACTTTTGTAAAATTTAATATTTTTGTTAATAATTAACTTTTATATTTAATTTTATTTATTTTTCATATTTAATAAACTACTTTTCCATATTTATCTAATAATCTATTTTTCATATTAATCAAATTAAAGTTATAAAATTTAAAACAATTAAACATATTATTAATAAATTAAATAAATCACAATATTATCATATCTTTAAAAAATAAATATTATAAATAAAATAAAATCTACACTAAAATGTTAGAAAAACTAATATTAATCACTAATATAGTTAAACAACATTAGAAAGGTTTAATCATTACATTTATAATGTCTATGATAAAAATTAACATTCTCTAAATAAATAAATAAATTATTTATAATATTTACCTCAATTTAAAATACATTCAATAAATTATTTATTTTAGAAACGTATTTTATGTAAAATATATTTAAGAAATTATTTATTTTAAAAATGTATTTTATGTAAATCTAAATCTAAATCTAAATTATATTATTATTTAAATATATTTCAAAATATTTTTAAATATAATAATTTAAAAAAATCAATTAATTTTTTATGTTAAGTTGTTTATGAAAAAATATTTAAAGAAAAAAATAAAAAACCTGAAAGAAATTACAGGTGACAGGTAACAGACAATAATAATAATGTAGTTAAATATCTGGTTGTGAATATTAATACTGTATATACAAAGAGTTAACATTTTCTTAAAAAAGAACAAGTTTTTAACATTTTCCAGAATCACAAGGTCTATCTACGTTATTCACCTAGAACATCATAGCATTTATCACTGTCAGTTTTTCATCTGTGGTAATTATTAATAAGATTTTATAAATGTATTTAATTTTTTAGTGAAAAAAAGTAGATTGTTTTTTGAAAAACAGGTTCAATATATTTAAAATTTAACAGGGACTCATACATGGGATTAGTGCTTTAAAAAAGGTTGTTTTTTTAATAAAAAAAGCTTGTATTAAAACTGTACTGAGTTTAATTATCAGTTTCTTGGAAAAAAAGGAAACTTCTTTGGAATATAAAAAACGTACCGTAAAAGCAGATGGCATGCTTTGTAGTTTCACACATTTTGGAGCCTTTTCTTTCACAAGTGTTATATGTTGTTCTGCCTGAAACATGAGTAGTGGAGAGGAGCGGTACTATTATTGCAGGAAGATCATCACTTCCTACCCACATTCTAGACCTCACTTCTAGCTCCTATCCAATCTCACTGTTCAACCAAACCAGTTGCCATCTCACTTTTCTACTTGTGTTTTGTTCATCTCACTTCTGTCTGGGGCTGACAAAATGCCACAACATTGAACAAAGGTGAGGATGTTCAACCTCATTGCATCACTCTCTCATAGCTAAACACCTCAGTGCTTTTGTTGTTTTCCATTGTTGCAAGAGATCAGTGTTATTTTCTAAAATTACAAGTTTTGTCTTTTTTTTTGGTTTTTTTGTTTTTGTTTTTTTTGCTAAAGATCCCAACTTGCATAATTGTATGTTGTCCCACCAGCAACTGTAAGGTTTTTGGAAATGGGGGCTTCATCCATGTTGTCCCGTATTTTCTAAAATGGCAAAAAAGAGGATGATGAAGAAGAAGAAAAGACCCTGTTTGCATAATGTGGTTTTGTTTTGTAACAAGATCGTCAACAGTGTTCCAAGTGATCATGTTTTTTTGTTGTGATCATACTTGTAACAGAATGCTATGTGTTGCTATGATGCTGGATACATGACATTTTTATCTGTTTTAATAATGTTTATGATTTTGTTCCCTGTCTGATGTTATGTTGAGATGAGGGAGATTGTGTCTTTATTTGGGTGGAGTTTGATATGACTGACATAGGGGCTTCCATGATGCCTTGTGGTAAGGATCACCAGAAATAAATGACAAGGAAAGATGCCGTCTAGTCATAATTTTGGATAGAATTTTGTGTCTTAGTTGGTGGTGAAATCCCGATTTTAGTGCATCATGTCTTTAGGATATAGAACAAATGTTTCTCTCATGCTCCCACACTCTTCTCTTATGACCTACGCAAACAGTTGTTATTATTGTGATAGCAAAGTTGTTTGATTTTCCCTCAGCCAATCCCTTTGCATAATAAGGACTTATCTAGTGGCTACTCTAACACGTCACACATGCTGGATGCTTTGATTGTCTTTCCTATTGTTGTCAAACAATTGAATTATTTTTACTCTGGCATCCTTCCTATTCGTTGCATATGCTTCCCTCATACATTGTATTTATGGGAAGGTTGATTTTTCTTAAGATTACTGTTTATTTACTCCCTTTTTAAGTCTAGTTATCGAGGTCTAGCCTTTACAAGTATAATAATACCTTGCCATTTTTTATTTGTATATAGTGAAATTCTTCTCCTATTAGTTATGTGTAGGCTTTCTTTTTTTGATTTCTTTTGTTCTCCGCTTTCATGTTTCATGATACTTGATATCCGTCAAGGTAAAGATATGATATCCTCAACTTTCTCCCAGGTTCATTCATTTTGTGCCAAAGTTGTCAAAGATCATTCTCTTATTGAGTCATCAACTACAAGGAGAAAACAGCTGGCAGAGTCCAGCTGTTTTTGTCTTCGTTACCCCAAGAAAACCAGTTACCAGATCAATTCTTTTATGAAGGTATCCTGTTTGCTAATCCAGGCTTATTGATATCTTATATTTGGTCAATTGATCGAGGAGGCAAGTCTGGAAAAGGCAGTGCAGTATTTTCGTTTTTGTATTCTGTGATTGCTTTTGATATAGGATATGGCTGTTCTTGCACCAGCAAGTTCATGTTTTGGAGCAAAGTATCAGGCTCTAGCACCATTGAGAATTTTAAGGGGTCTGGTGTGTCTACTGGTGCTGCTTTCAACAGCATTTATAATGTTAGTGTTCTTTGGCTTTATAAGTGCTGTTATAGTTCGACTTTTTAGTATCAGTTACAGCAGGAGAGCGACTTCCGTTTTCTTTGGTGCCTGGCTTGCTTTGTGGCCCTTTCTATTTGAAAAGATCAACAAGACTAAAGTTGTGTTTTCTGGAGATAGTGTTCCTTCGAGAGAACGGATCTTACTGATCGCAAATCATAGAACTGAGGTTGATTGGATGTATTTGTGGGACCTTGCCTTGAGGAAGGAATGCCTTGGATACATAAAATATATTCTTAAGAGCAGCTTGATGAGACTTCCTGTTTTTGGTTGGTCATTTCACATACTAGAGTTCATCCCAGTGGAAAGAAAGTGGGAGGCTGATGAGTCAATCATGCGCCATATGCTTTCCACATTCAAGGATCCCCAAGATCCTCTGTGGCTTGCTCTCTTCCCAGAAGGAACTGATTTTACGTAAGACACTTGTCAATGACTTTTCATTTTTACTAACCTTATGGCAATCATCAGCTAAATCTTTGATACACTGGTACGTATCTTTGATTATGATCATTGTGATTCAGGCAAAAAAGTCTGGTTTCTTTAAGTTGAGAATCATGCTATTTTTCCCTTGTTGAAACTTCCATAAAAAAAGTTAGGCAAAGTATGTTGTCACCACTCTTCAAATGGTGGCTCTGAAATCGAACAGTCTTCACTCCCAGTTTGAGTTGATGTAGCATATGTTCTTCTTGCAGTGACCAAAAGTGCCTTCGGAGTCAAAAATATGCTGCTGAACATGGGTTACCAGTTCTGAAAAATGTTTTACTTCCAAAGACAAAGGGCTTCTGCGCCTGCTTGCAAGAGTTGAGGGAATCTCTCACTGCAGGTTATCCAGCCTGTCTTTAATTCCTATTTATATAGTTATTGGTGAAGTATTTGACATTAGTTTTATTCATAGTTAGTCCTTATACTCATCCAAGAATTGTTCGTAGGCCACTTTGTTCTTCACTTCTGATACTATTAATGGGAAATCTGCAGCATTGTCATCTGTCTATACGCTTTAGCATTTGTCAAGAAAAATACTTGTCTATAAGCATTGCCTTGTAAGAGTCGTAACATCCTGTCTTTAAGATTCTTTCCACTTTTCATTTTTCAGTTTATGACGTGACCATTGGCTACAAAGACCGCTGTCCATCTTTCTTAGACAATGTCTTTGGGGTGGATCCTTCTGAAGTTCATATTCATATCCGCCGTATCCCCCTCGGTTCTGTCCCGGTCTCTGAAGAAGAAATGTCCACTTGGTTGGTAAATAGATTCCAGCTGAAAGATCGGTTACTTTCCAATTTTCAAATTCAAGGTCAGTTTCCGGATCCAGCAACAGAAAGGGACCTCTCTAGTGTGAAGAGCATTTTAAATTGTATGACAATTGTTACTGTTACAGGTACATGCATGTACTACAGTTTTTCCTCTCTCTGGTTTAAACTTTATGTGTCTCTAGTCTGTGCTTATTTGGTTCCAGCTACATATTTCAATATTCGGCCACAGCCCATTCTTAGCATTTTGAAGATGAGATCAACATGCCACCTCTGAAAATACTTGAATGGGTGGAAGTAATTCTCTGTTCTGTGACTGTTGTTATAGTATATAAGTACTGGACTTGATATTAAATGCAATTATATCTCTTGTTTAAAGAGATTTTCCTGATTAATTTGATAAGATGTTTGGCAACCACGTGTTGGCTCATTGCTGTTCTCATCGCTGCAGTATAATTTGCAACTTCACAGGTCTTTTTGTTTTTTTATGCTTACCCTTTTCTATCAATAAATACTTGTCATTATTTCGGTGCCATTGGTCTTACGTGGATCCATTTTAAGGTCTGATTGTAGCAATAAGCTCTTCGCGTGTCAAAGCAGTAATATCAACATAGCTGGTTGTGCAGTTATAATGCAGTCAAGCAGCACAATCAGCACCCACACTAACACGACTTACTTTGATAATACGCAAGATTAATCAGTTTCTTATGACTATGTTGCATGATGAGGGTTAAGAGGGATGTATCCTTCATCCTGCACATCTTACTTTAGCAATGAACCAATAAATTACTAACCCAAGTACCAAAATAAAGTTCTTAATCTTCTATCCTTGAAAGTTTGTTGCAATCAGGCTTTGTATACCGATGCATAGCTTACAATAAAAACACTAGGCCTTTGTCACAAATTGTGAAATGCATAGCTTCAAAAAGGTTACCGGCACTCCTTATTCCAAATATAGTCTACATGTAATACTTTCTTGGTTTTAGTTCGTGTTCCGCACCAGTCCTCAAGATCCTAATTCCTCTAACCCAGAAGATTCTAGTCCATAAACCCAAGTAAGAAGGTGGGGAATACACAAAAAAAACTCGAGAATTATCATGGAACTCAAAAATCTTGGGACAGTGCAAGTGCATCAAATGTACACACAGGATTACACAACCCTAAAAACATAAAGGAACACCTCTAACTCTAATACGCATTGACTTCATAGGAGGATCACGTTAATATCAACTTGAGTTGTACGAAAGTTCCATCTTTTGAGCAGATGTTGAACATTCTAACGTCATCGGCCTAACATTATCGCAGGGAATTTCGGATAAACTAAGTAGAAATTACCATTTTTTTCAAAAACAATGCACATCAAATTTGGCACTCATTTTCAGTTTTTGTTTATGCCCTACCACCTTTAACATTTATCAATCGCCACTTCCGTGATACTTCCAACTTGGTATTTTTTTTTAAGCACGAGAATTGAAGGAAGTTATAACTTATAAGGTACCGCCCCAAATTGTAGATATACTGCCCCTTTCACGTTTCAAGAGTTCCTTAGGGGCAAAGTTTACTCACATTTGGCAATAATCAATTCCTTGAAGAAGAAAGAAACTATTTTCTATTACACGTTGCATAATCATGTGCTCTCAACAGATCTTTATATGTTATATATATTATCGATTTTCCATAAATTAAAAAATATAATTGCATGTCACATCAAACTTAAGTGGGATCTCATAATTTTGCACAGCATGTGATAATTTTTCCCATTTAAGAATATAATATGTATAATTTTATGATCTTTTCTATATATCTCAATAAATATTTTCCGATTTAACTGTAAGAGAATTCATAGTTTGCACCCACATAAAAAAAGGTAAGACATTTAAACGTTAATAAGAAAAGCTAAAAGAATAAATTTTACTAAATTTTATATTTTGTTATTATGTATAATATCAATTCTTTAAAAAAGATAAATGAACAAATAGTTATAATTTTTTCCTCAGTGAAAGCACGTTTTTATGAACTTAATTATATATTGCATGGAATAAGTATATCATGCAACACGTGATGCATGAATAGATAGTTGTGTTACATATTTGGAAAGAGAGTTTATTGTTTTGACAAAACTCCAACATCATAAGTTCTTACCATACTCAAACAAGATTACCTTTAAGTAAAGGACAACCATTGTCTTGTCGAGAAGAAAAAAAAACAAGTATATCATGCAGATAATGAAGTGATACCGTCTGGGAACTTATTCCAAGAACAATCTCTTAAAAGAGAAAAAAACGATTCGATGAAGCACAGGTTTAGTTTAGTTCACATCAAACTTAGCATGCAAGTATTCGTTCATTTAAAGCTCAACGTTAGTTGGGGTATCACCCTCCACAATAACGTAGATATTTATCTCGGTTGTTGAATTGATCTGTGAATGTATTTCAAGATATCTAAAGACACACAATATATGCCACATCAGCCAACTTAGAGGCAAATGAAATCATAGAAAGAACAATAAAGAAATGTGTGCATTAGTGCACTATTATGAGAAGAATTAAAGATGCCAGAGTCGAGGCATATCAAATATGCCCGGTTATATTACCTTGAGCATGAACCTATGAATCTAGAAACTTCATTGGACACAAAAGGAGAAGGTTTATACTCCATCTAACAGTTGCTACTGGCAGATCAGAGATGACATGAAAGATTGTCTTCAGTTGTAGGGATGCTTTATGATCCTCTGCAGGACCACAGTCCTTGCCCTCCTAATGTCACGGCTACACATATCAGCTTGAACTCCCAAATCTTCAACACTCTTCATGAACACTCCAAGCTTCTTCTTGATCTGCTCTGTTACAACCTTCACGTCTCCTTCTTCCATGGCAAAATCTACATTATGCAAAAGAGATTCAATCTGAATTTCTAGCCTACCAATGAGAACCCTAATGTTGTCCAAGTCCTTTATAGCAACATAGGTTCCAGCCTGCATTGAGCTAATCACTTCCTTCTGCCCCTTCAATGCATTTTCATAGTTCTTCCAGAGGGAGTCCATCCACTTTCCCATCGATCCTACCGGGATCGATGTAGCAGCAGCTATTGCAGCAGCAACAGGTGGTGCTGCTATAGCTGCAGCAACAACTGAGCAGATCAAGACTGCAGCAAAAGTAGCTACAAAGATGATACTGGAAACCTTCCTCCAAGAGTGGATGTATTTGAGCTTCTTATCAAGCTTGTTCTTCTTATGTTGCAACTTCTCAAACATGAGTATATGGTGTTTGTAAACAGACTGAAATATCTGGAAGAATTCTTCAGTAAAAGGGTCACCAACAGCCTTGAAATTCTTAAATTCTTGCAATGTCCTCATGTAGCGGTTGTCTTCCAATCCTGATTCCTCCTCAAACTGTTGAAGAGCCACAAGGATGAGCAGCTGGCTGTCGCGAACACGCTTGAGGCACTTTTCCAATGCAGTGCAGAAGTCCAAAGTTTGCAGACTGTTCTCAAAGTATTCCTCAACCAGTTCAAACAGTTCTTGGCTCTTCCATATGTCTTTCTTGCAGTCCAAGATTACCTTCACAACTTCCTGGTTCATCTCCAGAAGGCATTCCGTGACTTGTTTCAGAGAATCAAATGAAAGCGCTCGAACTTCAACACCAGCAGCGAGAGTATTGATAACCTCATTTGTTCTAGCTTGAAGTGTGGTGTCAAAGGACTGCAAATCAGAATCAAGCTTGCAAGCAGCCTCATAAGAACTCAGCTCAGTTTTGTAGTGCAATTCGGTGCCGAGGCCAGTAGAAGGAGTTTCAGGCATCTTCTTGCTCATGTGACTACCCATTTTGCTACAATTCAAATGATCCGATGACCAAAATTAGTCAGAACTCAGAAGTCAGAATCATGTGTGATTAATTCCTTACCCAATAAATCAAGTGATTGATAACCAAATATACTATTTTTGGTCCAGTTTTCACCGAAAAATAAAAGAAATGTGATTTAAGAGAACTGCTATCAGAAACATAAATATCATTCCAGTCACCCCAAAAAGACTATAATAAGACGAGTATAAGCAAAACGAAACAGACCCAAATGGAGATTTGGGAAAAGTTCACACCTTCGAAAGCGATAGAAGGCAAGGAATCTGGGACAAGGACAATGAAAGGCGATGGAACAAAAGGATGGTTTTTGATTTTGTGTTGTATGTGGGGAGAGAGGAAAGGGAGATGATGAAGCAATGAAGTTGAGGTGGAGGAGGGAATGCATAATCTTAAAGGGAATTAAAGCGATTAAGAACCAAGAAATGTGGGTGGGTTGAGGTTTTAGAATGGCTTGCACGCATGAGAAAAATGAGGTGTTAGAAGATGGAAAGCGCTACAAGCAACTAAACGACCCTTGTTCTCTCTCTTTAAACTGGACCCTTTTCTTCTGTGTCTCCCTCTTCCCGTTTACACCACACACTGCACAATTTTAACGCGCAAAGCAACTATATTGGCGACGAGAGAAGGCGTTAGAAGCAACCCATCGAAGCTGAAGAACGAGAAGTGCTAGCTTCAGCTTGATGCCACTCCACTCGTTACCGACACACCACACACATTTACTGAACAACAAACTAGCGTTGTTTGTTGCACAAGTTTCCAAAGGGTGCCTCAAAACACGGTGGCCGGCCGTTATTCTGTGCCCAAATTGCTTTAACTCAAACCTTTTTCCATCCATCTTTCATTTCGGATGGGAAAGTAACATGTGATCACAATTTCGAGGTTAAAATGGAAAAACTGTAGATAGAAAAATGATCATTGGACATCTCTTTAGATCTCTCCATGACCGGAATGAAAAGAGAAGATAAAAATAATAATATAATTAATAATGTGACGCTAGAAAAAATGTAAATAACAAAAAAAAAAGATATTTCATTAAAATATTTGTAATTTATACAAGTTTCTAAATATCAACATCTCATAAATTAGATATTTTTATTATAATAAATATTTTTAAAATCGGAGTCAATAGGAATTTTTTTAGAATTTAAAGATTTATTCGATCCAATAAAATTTAATAAGATATAACAAAATAATATTTTTTATAATATAATAAATTTATTAATAATTATATATTTTTAAATATATATATATATATATATATATATATATATTAAAAATATAGGATAGACAATTATTAAAATATAAAATAAAAAAACAATAATATTATTTAAAATTCACATAATTAATAAGATAAAAAAATTAAAATATATTATATCTTTTATATAAATTTATATTGCAAAATTTTTATCTTATTTTTTATCAAAACTGATCTTATAAAAAATTTCACTCAACTTTTTTATATGTTTTGTTTTAAATTTTATGATTTTATTTTAATTTAATTTAAATTCAATTATTTAAAAATAATGGATGAACTTCTAAATCAATTTCCGGTTAAACAGAACAAGCTTATTTTATTCAATTTTTAATAATATTTTTTATTCAATTTTTAATAATATTTTTTTATTTTGTCATTGGTCATTGAAATACTAATTATTATATAGATTTCTTTAGCTTAAGATAATTTACGTTAAAGCAGTTACTTAGAGGCTTAGAACAAATTTAGATGTAATATCTTGGTTACGTTTCAAGCTTTTTCCCTCAGTTTTTAGTCTTTTTTCTTTATTAGTTAAAAAGCTAGTTTTATCTTATATATTAACACCTTTTAACAAATAAGTGTTTTTTAAATACTATTTAAAGTAGCGTTTTTTAAAACACTATCTTCAAGCTTTTTGCATTTAGTTTTTTCTTTATTAGTTAAAAAGCCTGTTTAGTCTATTAGTATAATTAATAAACAAGTTTTTTTTAAAGTAGTTTTAAATGTTATCTTGAAAAAAAAATCGTATCCGTGATTTTTATATTTATTTTCTTTTTATCCTTTAAATATTTATTAAATTTTCGTGTTACTCTTTTAAAATAAAGTAAATTAAAATACAAAAATGATAAACATCTCAAAGTATATTACAACCATAAAAAAAATGGTGCATATTTGTCATATTACATTTTCAGTTACTCAAACAAATAGTTTTACTGAATATTTATGATTTATGTTTTATCAGTTAGATTTGCTAAAATAACCTTTCAGTTTAATTGAAAATCATTATTAAAAATATTTAATTAACCTTGTAAAAGAAAAATAAGTTTATTAATTAATGCTGAATAGATGATGATATTAAAAAAAGAAAACTTATTTATTTTTCCTTTTGCTAAAATTAAATTGATTATACTTGTAAGAGTCTCCTACAACATTATTCCATTGGAAGAAGTATCTAAACATGATTTCTTGGGGCTTGAAGTTAAATCTGAATAATTAAGTAGGAAAAAAAAAACTATTATTAAGAACATAGCTTAAAAGTTGTGACTTGTAGAAGAGTATACACATATATAGACCAACCTGTGTGTTGCTCCCAAAACATTATCACTTCAAGCATACCACCATTTTCGCATACCTGTTTCTGTGATAAATTCGAATAATGGGTTTTTTTTTTTCTTTGTACCAATTTATTGACAATTATCGTAAGTGTAATAATTAGTTTTTGTCGGATAAATCCACGTTCGATGTTCCTAAAGAAAAACCAAACACATATTATGTCTTAATTTGCAATGCATAAAAAAATAATGTCATAATCAGGGGTGTTCTGCAAACGGTTTAATTCGATTTTCCATTAAAAAATTATTCAAACGAAATATAAAAATTTAAATATTATTTAATTTGAGAAGTTTTATGATTTTTTATTACAAAATTTATTAAATATATTACAAAATATAAATATTTAATATAAAATTATATTATAAAAAAATTTATGATATCAATTTGTTTCTATATATTAATTTTAAAAATCTATTATAATTTTGATTCAATTGTTAATTATGTTCTTAATTTTTAAATTAAATTAAATGATTGATTTTAAAAAAAATTATTAAAAAAATAATTTTTATAAAATTTTCATTATGTTTTTGAATTTATTTTATTTTAAATATTCTTACCTAAAATTAATCATAATATGTAATTTGCGGTGTAGTTTGGAGGTTTTATGGTTTTTTAATTTATTTTGATGAGTGGCAAAATTATTTTAATTGACAATTTATTGTTGTGAGTGTTTGAAAGCCTTGCAATTTTCCCCCAAGTTTTCTACTTTTGAAGCAAAAGAAAACACGTGATGGGAGAAATTATTGTCTTTACCAAAGTGAATACAAACATGTTGAGTATTAGATATTGATTCAGTAGAAGAAAAAAAAGTAATAAATATCCGTACATCAATGTTCATCTCCCATCACTGTCACGTTCTTAGGTATAACTGTCCAACCTTATTTTAATCCGTCAAATTTAATTCACCCAATTTTTGTAATCAAATGTTCTTGTTCGTTTCGTTTCGGACTTTCCTTTCGGTTTAACTATGTTCTATTCATTTTCACCACGTAATGCTACAATCTAGTTTATAGATGTATTACAAATTTGCCACTATTTGTTTTTTTTTTTTAATTTAACCAATAGATAACTAAAACTTAAATGGTGGAATATTTGGAATGTGTGTGATTAATATTATAAAGTCGTGGACTCGATCTTGTGAAAATGGGTGGTGATAGATGAGATAATTGCACGTGTTATATATGTTCTCACGTCAACTGAACTCGTGACGGTTCACTTTGGTAGTGTAACGGAACTTAACTTAACATCACGTGACTCGTGCATTCATTATTATTTATGCAAATCAATTACTGACTAAAATCATTCGCACCTCAATAAATAATCCAAGTTTTTTTTTTACATAATAAATAATGCAAGTTAGGCATTCAAGGAGGATTGGTAAGAAAAAGGGTTCAATTTGATAGGTTTTTCTCTCCTCTCACATCAAAATTGGTGTGAAGGATTAACATCATTTTGTTTTAACCGTTCTGTTTAACTATTTAAAAAAAAATTATATATTAAAATTTAAATAAAAAATATATAATTTAAAATATTATATTTTTTATATATAAATATATTATAATTTAAATTATAAATATTAATTAATTAATTTTAAATTATTAATTATAATTGAGTATTTCAATATATAAATATAATAATTTTTAATTTATCTAATAAAAATTATTAATTAATAAATAAAAATTTATTTATATAATTAAATATCTATTTTTTTTAAATATATAGAAATAAATTTTATATACAAATATATTAATGGACTAGTCACTGCTATTTCGATGAATGATATTTGGTAATAGATTTTAACGCTTTAACATTGCAGAAACCTGATCTATATATTAATTATCCCATGAATAGTACGGGCTAAACCCATATTTACACTAAGAGTTATAGTACAACATACATTTTCTAAGATATTGTAAACATGTTTCTGCACACACATGTAACATATTATCTCACAATTTCTTATAGATGTAACGTTGTTGGAGACAAGAGTTTGACCATGTCCTATGGTATCCATGGGAAGGTTCTCCGGTAGGAATCTGATTGTATTCACACTTCAGTTCACATGTCATGGTGGCACATATTACTATACATTAAAAAACAAAACCTCCTAGAATACTGAGAACATCCAATTATTCCCTGAAAGCACCACACAAACACTTGCATGCCCGTGATGGAATGGTCCCATACTCCCATGGTATTGCTAATCAGCCAGCACACACTTTGTCACGGGACTTCTCTATGCCACGTTCACTCTCTCTATATAATCAGCCTTGTAGTTCCACTCTCATTACAATGCAGTGGAAGAGTGAATCAGATTGAGCAGAAACATATATATCCATAACCATGGAGGCATACAACAAGAAGGTTATGATTGTGGTGATGCTGGTGTTGGGCATTGTGATGATTGGGTCAGGGCCAGTCTTGACCAATGCCCAGTTTTCGTTTTGTCGCATGCCTAAAGATGGGTTGAAGGCATGCTTGGCTAGTGTGAGTGGGGACAACCCTGTTGATCCTTCCTCTGATTGTTGCTCAGCCATTGGCAAGGCTGATCTTCAATGCTTCTGCCGTTACAAGGATTCGGGGTTACTCTCTGTCTATGGTGTTGATCCCAACAAATGCATGGAACTCCCTGTTAAGTGCAAGGTTGTGAACTCTTTCCACTGCTAGAGGGGCACATAAGGCCACTTAGTTATGTAATCTTTAATTGCCCTTGTTTCTTTGTTCGCCACTGTTCTTGTTTTTTGTGCTTTCAAATGTTATGTATGCTTGTTCCTTTGTTGTTGGTGGTGTTGTGAATGTACTTTGTCCTTCTTGTTTTTTAAGAGCTCTTCATTTTGATGGTAAACAACTTGAACCAGATCCTTATTATACCAGCAATACAACACAAACAACCAAAAAGCCTCATGCATCCAAATAATATATATGCCATGAATCAGCAATAATAATATCCACAAATAAAGAGTCCATCCTCATCTCTGAGAATTCTCCTGAAACAGATCTATTTTCCACTTCAACCACAACCACTGATCCATCACACAGGTTGGCTTAACATATTATGTTAAGGAAAATCATGATTGAAACTTGGAAATAATATTGTATGAAGAGTCCTACTACTAGCCAATTATGGACTGTTCACCAAACAAAAGAATGAAAAGGATATGAGTTGAAAGCATTCCTTATTGACCATCAATAAGAGACAAGTAAAGCACCCTGTTTTCATAACTCAGGTATAGAAATAAAAAATATATAAATTAGTGGTCTAGAAATAACCATAACAAAGATAAAAAGGAAACAAAAAATAAGATAAAGAGAAAGAGTGGTGGGTTGTTGTTATATAATAATAAGTTATACGGTGGGAAATAAAGAACAATGGAAAAAAATATACGGTGAGAAAGTAAATACATATTTATATTTATTTTATAAAAATACCTGATGTAAAAAAGTATATTAATTGATCTTTTTAATTATTTATTTTTCACTAAAACACTATTATTTATTTGAACATTGATTTTCTAACTAATATTAAGAAAATAATTTAAAAAATATATATTTTGGCAGACTCCAATTTTTTTTTTGTTTAAAATAGATTAAACATGAAATCACGTTAAAATAATATATTTTATTTATAAACTTTAATAATTATAATGGAAATTTCTATAATAGTTAAATATAAAGTATTTAAATAAATATATAAAATGGAAGAAAAGAGAAAACTTTATAATTTAAATTAATATTTGAATATATTATTTCTCTTCAACAAATGATCAAATTTTGGTTTTAATTTAATAATTAAAAAAACATTTGAAAAGCTCATTTTTTTTTTAAATATTGAAATAAAATAATTTTTAAAATAAAATAAATAATTGAAAAATATTAGAAACAAAATCAAAGTTTAGTAATTAATTAGGGAATTAAAAATATATGTAAAACAAAAGAATCATAAATTTAAATTTTTTACATGCAATTTTCCTTTCGTTTTTTTTAATATGTAAAACAAAATCAAATATTATTATTATTATTATTATTATTATTTTTCTTTCTCTTTCTTTATTTTTAACTTTGGGCCGAGTTTCCTCTTTTTTTCTTTGCTTTCTTGGGCCCAACCTTTATAGGCTCAGCATGGCAACGCTATATATACATATATCTATGGTGAGAAGCTGAAATCGGAGATAAACCCTAATAAATCTTTCTTCTTTTCTACTCGTACTCTGTAGCAGCTGCAAAGGTTGTCTTTGTCGTCCTTTTACGTTGTTTTTTCAATTTCTTATTTACTGTTATTTTGGGTACAGGCCTTCATAATCCCAGATAAGCTTTAGCGTATGCTAAGTGCTTATTCTGATTCATGGGAGGCCGAAATTGAATCGTGGAAGTTTCGCTGATAAATGCCTATTTCTGATTCTTACATCAAGGCGTTTACTAGTAACTTTACCATATACTTTCGACTTCGATATTTCACATACTCATACTATTTTCATGCTTATACCATAAACTAATTCTGATGTTTTTAAACTAGGATTCACAGATTGCATTTTTGTTCATTACCCTTTATATATAACTAATAACCACTGTCTTGAACTGGTGCAAAGGATCGAGCCTGATTCGTTTTTAATTTTATTTTTACGGAAAATTGTGTTTTGAATGTTTTCTTGTGTTACCCGTTCTCATAAACATATGCCTTTAGAAAAAATTTGAGCTACATTTATATGTTGCATGCAAGAAAAAAAAAAAGAATTTAAATCTCTTAACACGCTTTTAACACGCATTTAATTGTTTATTAAAATATCTTAAAAATTACAAAATCAATAATAGAATTTAAATTTGATTTATAGATTAAAGGTTCAACTTTTTGCACCCAACATATTGTTTTTAATCACGCAGGGAGTGACTTATGAAATTTAATGGGAACAGAAAGAATCATACCAAATTAAATATATAGACCAAATTTAACCTGATCCAATCATGATTAAAACATAGCCCATAAAAACCCCCCAAAAGCCTGAAAAAATCAGTTGAGTTAAGCTCATTTTCTCACCTTTACCAACCAATTGATATTACAAGCCTATTAATTACTCCAAAACAAACCAGTGAGTATAAAATGCAAAAATTTAACTAATATAACACATCCTTTCAAAAAGAGTTAAGCCACTTATTTTAAGCTAATTCTTAGTTCTCATTGAATACCAAAAGATTTCGGAAGCTTTTGAAAATGTGTAAAAATGAGAAATCCGTTCTTGGTAACCCGTGGAAATGAGAAAATGCCGTCTCATCGGTTCCCCCAGTTGGCAAAAAGATGGCCAGACAAATGGTTACTTTAAAACCAAAATAGTATGATGTTAAAATGGCAACTAACAGGATTTAAGAAAGTAACGCATCTATCATAAATTAGAAACATGAGTTTATATCATTTCCTAATCAAAATTTTCGATCTCAAAATAGGTCCAAGCCCGTACTACAGACTACAGTATCTTCAAGCAAAAGTTTACATCTACTTGTGGTATAGATGAACAACGGTGAAGATGAAGAAACCTGCCATCTGCATCACAATCAAAAGGTTACATTACCTACAAGCCATTTAGTGATAGAACAGAAAATACACACATATGATTACAAATTCACAACTGAAAAATTACAAGACACAATAGCCTAATCACATTAACCTCATGCAATGCAAGGAAAAGGGGTTTTAGTAGAAAGAAAGGGCTAATCATATGTTCATCTTAATGTTTTCAAAAGCAGATCAGTTATTAGATTGGTGTAAAATTTATAGGTGGTTTAGAACACCAAACCACCTCAAAGTTATCACATAAGCTTCAAGTCAACAGCTTGGTGAACTATTTTAACAAAATGTGGTACAGTCAAGGGTAAGCAAAAACTTAGTTCAGCAACAACCTGAAAAAGGTGAGCTGGAGTGAGTTATCTTGAGGAAAGACATTCGGTATAACTTTTTGGGATGTACAAGCAGGTTTATCCAGAGACAGAAATCAAGATTATGTCCCAATTTGTAGATTACCTTAATCCTATGAGAATGAAACTTATAGAAGAGAGATCCTTACCATCGAAAATGCTGCTCCATAATAGGGATAAGCTGCTGGTATAAATCTTTCATATTCATTGTGTCTGAAGGGACGAACAGGAATCTACACGGAAAATGTAACATTATTTATGAGTACTGCATACAATATTGTGCTTATTATAAAATGTATAACTCTCGGGAAGATGTTTCACAACTACAGGATTCCGAAGATTGGCATTCAAGTTGATCTAGTAGCAAACTCGTATTTGGCAATTAATTCTGAAATAGAACCGCTTGAACTATGCACGCTAGAAAAAATTACGTACCATAAAGGTAAACATTTAATACAATAATCATAAGAAAGAGGATATTCTTCCCATACCCGAGTATAAAGTTATATATATGGATGCAAGCAGAAAAGTTTAGACGTACCATGTAAAACATAAGTCATCTAAATGATGCAGAAAAAAAGGGTGTTTTGTAGAATGACACTTAAAAATAGAGAAAAAAAAAATTAGAGGATCAGCAATTACCTGCTTTGATAGAGATAAGCTTGTATATCCGAGTTTTTCATACTCAACTTTGAATTGGAAAACCCCATAGACATCTGGAACCTTAAATGATGTGAAGTAACGACCCTAAAAGACAACATATACAATCTAGTGAATTTTGCTCAAGAGTTTATTAGAGAAGAAAATAAGAGTATGACCAATAGGAAATATTAAAGCACCTTGCCATCAGTTGATAAAGTCTTCAACACATAGGGGCTCATCATGTAAAATTGCACTTGAACATCATCGGCTACGTAAGGTTCCCAAGATGTGCCAGACCACTCGTAAACTTCAACAGAATATTCCTTTACAACAAGATTGGATAAATGAGTACCAACCCAAAGTAATGTATCAATTAAAGCAAACCTGACAAATAGTATATCATAACTGGAACAACATTTTAATTACCAAATTATCATTGATCCTATAGATGGATGGTTCATTAGCTTCCCCAACTTTGTGATGTTGCACATTAACCGCCTATATATCAAAACATGAAATTAATTAGTAATGATGCTAAATGAGATGTGAAGTATTAAATAAAAGAACAATGACAATAAAATTGACTGAAGTGTCTTTTCTCTTACCTTGAGGTGACCTCTTTCATGGAAAACCCATTTGCTAAGTTCAGTGAAGAACTGCTCATTACCTGATTTTTCATGTCTGTTATTCCAAAAGAAAAAAAAAAAATTACCAAGCATTTCTCATTGCAGAAACTATTTCACCACAAATCAAATTTTACGGGGGAAAGACATATGGCCAAAGTATGCTGGATGTAGTACAATAATTATGCAATATAGCTGATAGAAACCCTATATTGACAATATTAAGAGAAGGCAGCTACTAAAGCAGTGAAAACTTGACAGAAAACAGAAAGTAAGAAAAGGTTTAATGCTTTACTCACTTGGTTGGACTCCCAGCCTTCTGCACTCCTGACCTGAAAAATCTGTAGAAAAAAATCCAGTTTTTAGAAAAATGAGCTTCAGATCTTACATATTAGTTGTAATAAGAACAACAAAACCCTGATAAAAAAGTGAGCTTCCTTACCGGTTGCTGAACATGCTCAATGAGCCAGAGATCAATATCCGGGCATTATTTCTTGCCTATCAAAAAGAAAAAGGGGAGAATAATGAGAAACCATAGGTTCACAATTAAAGTCTACAAAAAAAAAGTGTGCAATGAACAGTAAGATGTTTTTAACATGTTTTATGAAACAGGTGTATTCTGTTAACTTAACACCAGATATTTTGAAATTATTTTTTTGTGTATAACTACTGTAAGTTATACTATCAAAAGGGTTGTGGATAACTACAAAAGGAATGAAAACAACATTAAGAATCAGACCTTCCTTGTATATTTGAAAACCATAAGATCTAGGGTATGTTAAAGACAATCATAAATGAACAAATGAGGGCAGCAAAATACACACACGCCCACACATAATAAGTGTGGAGGATGAAACAATGACATACCTGTATAACTGAAACTAACGAGATTGAAGATCCAGTGAGTGATGGAGGACTGGTCAGTTTAGATTTAGGGTTAGCAGAAAAGGCAGAAGGAGATGCAGAGAGAGCTTTCAACACCTGGATTGAAACACAAGAAAAAAATGTAACCAAACAAATGTAAACTTATAAATACAATATGGCTAATGAAAACGTGTGAACTAAGATAAAGAAATATTACCAGGCTATTGGTAGGATTTAGTGAATGCCCAATCCCATGGAAAAGTACAGGAGCCTGTCGAATGTAATGAGAAAATTCAGAAAAGAACAATGCAGTGCACAAGAAGCATTTTCCAGTAACATACAAGTCTCACACCATTTAAAATAAAGGACAAAAAGGGTAAAGGAAGTAAAACTCAAACAACTTCATGGACTCGAACAATAGTACAATATACGGCATAGATAAAATAATGTTAGTACCTCAAACAATCATTGTGCACAATGCAGTTCTTAACAAATTTAACAATTCACTTGCCTCAATTTTTTTGCTTCCCAATATCACGTCAGATTTGATAAAATCATCACTAGCGATCAACGTATGATCCCCTTCAGTAGCAGAGACTGCATATCCAGAATGATCGACAACCATGGCAGCAGGATCCTAGAAAAAATACAGAAAGTGTAGGACTTGAAAGTTGAATGCGCCAAAATAACATACAAATAACAACTAAGGAAATTACAGCACCATTCATAGCAACTCAGGCCCAATTGCTCAAGGCACATGGGCGGGGAGTGAGGCTACTACTATTACTGAGGATGAGAGGTCTACGATAATGACTATGCGCCCTCATGATTGGAATGGTTTGTCCATTAAGTCATGCATTGCTATTTTCTATTTTTTCTTATTTCATTACGTTTGTTATTTTGTTATTCTGTCAGAAACCGTTACGTTGTGCGGGTGCGGTTGTAGTTCGGTATATATGTTAATGGATATTAAGACACATGCAGGCAAAGAATATTCAGAAAATCTATTATTCTCCCTCTCATTTCTAGAGGTTCCTCCAGGACTCAAACTCATAATATTTCTTCTTAATTTCGTTTTGGATTCGCATCCCTATCCTTTGAGTTAAAATTGCTAAAATAAACACACAAATAACAACAACTAAGAATATTCAGGACCATAGTACAGCACATGACTGGAACACGGCAACCTAGCTAGAAGGAAAATCTTGCAAAAAATCAAATAAGCTAATAAAATCAAATTGATTGCAAGCACCTCATCGAAATCCACTCCACACTCGGTGGCGATTTCCCTAATTAAATCAGATGCATTGCTATCAGCAGCAACAATCAAATCATGACCAGAATCAACAAAATCCAAAATTGCTGCAGCATCAACGGATCCTCCAAAACCTGCATTTCTTGCAACATCACCCAATTAAAAACATTCGTTTCAGCTAGCTAAAAATAAAAACTTCAAAACAAAGACAAGACAAAAACCGAACATCGTCGAGACCCATTTGCAAAATACCAACACAAATCAAGATCCCAAAAGTTTTCAGGAAAACGGAAGAAACAGAGTAATGGGGGTAGGAAGTGGAGAGCTCACGTTCAATGGTGGGGGAAAAGAGAATTAGGGCATCGTAGAGGTACTGGCCGTATCTCTGGAGGGCGATTTTGGGGTCGTCGGCGAGGTGAAAGTGGAGATCGAAGCCACGAGATTTGAGGGAGTTGAAGAAGAGAGAGTGGGAGGATTTGACGGCGAAGTCATCGACCAAAACGAGGACACGGCGATCTGAGGGCCGGTCCGGGGAGAAGGAAGTGCAGAGAAGAGGAATGAGGGCGAGGAAGACGAAGATGAGCTTGGACATTGCTACCAACAACACTGCCACACCTCTCTCTCCACTGCGAGTCAATCACAGAGTTTCACAAAGTCTTCTTCTTCTACCATCATCTTTCAAAAATTGCCTTTATGAGTCCTTTAACTAATCAAAATTATCATTTTTTCCATTTCTTCTACGGACATGGGCCGCTTTGGCCCAATTTAGAGTCAATTCTCCGTGGGACGATAACTTCTTCCATCCTACGTCCTTTCATTCCGAATGGGCTTTCTGAGACGTATATTTTTTTTGGAGTGTTTCTTCCGATAGCTCATATTCAATTCAACTAAATTCACAATATTATCTTTAATATAAATAGATTCTGAAAAAAATTTATTTTTTTTAATTGACTTTCTAAAAATTTCTCAGAAAAATTCTGGAATCAACTTTTCAAAAATATTTTAAAAAATAATTATGGAACACTTCTAAACAATTTTTGGAAAAGTCAATTTAAATTTTTTGAAAAATTAATACTAAAATGCTTTTGAAAAAAAAATTTAGATTAACTTTTTTTAAAGTTTTCTGAAACTTTTCTAAAAAGCTTTCAAAAATTTCGAAAAATTATGAAAATTTTATTCTAGAAATTTTGTAGGAGAGTGGATTCAGAATAATATATATATATAATTTTATTTATTTATACCATTATGTAAGGAGATACCCTGTTTTATCTGTCTCCTTTTGTGTTAAACTATTTTATCCTTTACTAAATAAAAATAATTTGATTATTTAATATTAATACAAATTAATAACCACATAACCTCTTTACTTAAAATTAACTCCACATAACATGTTCATTCAAAACTAGTGGTAAAAGTTAAATGATTTAAAATTGAAAATGTTTTCTCATAGTTCAAATATTTTTCCTCCCCACAAAATCATTTCAAAAAAAGTTGTACAAAATTACTGGTTTGTTTTTTTAAATTGCATTATTTTAATATAATAGAAATACCGACTCACATGTACAATGCACTTATATTTATGGTAGTATATTATAAAATATATCACATTGAATTTTCTTTTCATCAAAGTAAAAATGAATTATTTATGTAATCATTTTATTATTAATAAAATTGATATATTATCTATAACATAACAATATTTAATACCCATTTAGTGTATACAAATATTTTATCTATTAAAGAAATTTTCAAGCACAAACTAATTGCATTGACATTATTTTATCTCATGCTCTGCAAAATAAGGACACACTTGAATTTTCTCTCAAAATTTTATATGGAAACTAAACCATTTCTTTATTTTTATATAATATTATTCTCCTATTAAACGACACCAAATTTATAAATGACAAAAAAAAATAAGTTTGTTCTGGAGAATTTATAAAAATTAAATTCCTTTAATAGAGTGATTAAAATACTTTGTGATAAATTTGATTATTTAGATAATTTTTTTGAAAAGTAATGGAAGTTTAGAAATGGATACGAGGATTTTAATCATTTAAAGAAAGAGAATTTTAAATTATATATTAGAAGTAAGAATTTAAATTTTTATTATTTTTTTTTCAAATTTATGTTTCATCTCTTTATATTCTTTTATTTAATTTTGATTGAAATATTTTTAATTTATCTCGACATATTTCAAAATGATCTGAATTACTCGAACCAAGCTTAGCATGACCTAGTCCGGCTTTGATCCGTTTTAATCTTGTTTGAACCAACTTAAAATGTTTTGATATCATCAAACTATTGTGACTCGTCTGCTTTCGATTTGATTCATCTTATATTAGCCTGATTCAACCTATCTTAACTTAGTTCAACACATCTTGGCCTAGCTTATCATAGTCTAATTCAATCCTTTCTAATTAGTTTTAATCCAACTAGCAAAAATAAGTCTGATTCAGTATAGTCCAATCTATCCTAACTTGACTCATCTTAGTCTGATCTGATTCATCCTAAGTTGACCCCTCCTAATTTGACATATCTTGTCATGACTTAACCCAAATTATATAATTCTGGTTTGTCATATTTACTTACAAACCAACCTGACCCATCTGGACTCAATTTGACTAGACATGGTTTGATTTGTCCTAACCTAACCTAATTCATCCCAATACAACCCAACACATCTTGAGTCATTCCAATCAATCAATCTTGGTTAACCCAATCTTTATAACCTTGTACAATTTATTTTGTTTGGATCTAACTTTATTATTTTAGTATGTCTCATATCTCACTTGACTTAATCTAATATTTCATAATCAATTTTGGTTCAATCTTATCTATATAAATAAGAGTTAAATACTAAGAATCATAAGTTAAATCTAATTCATTTGATAATTTTTATATTTGATAATAATTAAAATAATTAATCTAAATAAGAAAATTAAATTTCAATAAATTTAAATTATCTCATTCAAACAAAATATTTAAAAAATTAAATCATTTAATTTGAAATATTATACCTTTAAATTTTCTATAAATTATAAAACACCTTATCCAATGGATATTTTAAATCTTGGATTTGATGTTGAAAATGTTGTAAGTTAAAAAAAAAATAAAAGGAAGGGTGTAAGAGGGACTCACTCTAATATTATTATTTTGGACTACTTTGTAAGATTGTTCTATTGCTTATTGACTGGGAGGAACACACTTTGAATCATTTTATCAAGTCCAAATCTTTGTATGCGTGGTTGCAAATTAATTTTGAAAAAATAAAATAAATGTCGTAGGGTCTGTTTAATTGATACTTTACCGTCCTTTCCCATCAAAAGAACCAATTAGGAGCCTCTCAATCATGTGACATGAACCAGCTGCACACCGGTTCATGTTTGAATCCAATAAGCCAGCAATTCCTATATACCAATCTCAGCCTACATTCGGACGTCACATCCTATTCCTTCATTTTCCAAGGAATTCATTGGAGCACTTTCTGCAATTCTTTAAAACATGCCTCCTCTATTCATAATTTGTGAATCCCACAATCATAAATGTATTAAACACAACATAAGCACCAACATCAAGTTTACAATGTGTACAATTCAAGAATATGATCATAACGAAGGTTAACAGCACAGTCTTTCTAATAATTTCAACCATCAGATAATGTGTTCAAAAAATTATTAGAAAGTGTGTTGTTCTTAACATTTGTCTTGCGATAATTAATTTTATAGAAATAACAAACACAATATTTGGCATTGAATGAGAATTTTGATCACAGAGAAAGCTAACACTGGTCTTCTTAACTTTTGTGGCCTAACTTCTTGACTATTGTGGCCATGTGTTTTCCTTGATACTCTGCAAGGGCAAGTTCTGTTTGACTAGCTTGCCTTGAGCCATCTCCAGCAAAAACTCCAGCTCCATATGGAGATCCACCTCTGATTGAGTCCATTTCGAACATTCCAGCACCAAAGGTATAACCAATAGGAACATAGAGCATTCCATGGTGGACTAACTGTGTGATTGCTGTCCAACTACAATAATAGTCATAAAAAGGCATGTTACTCATTGTTGGTCTGTCTCCCAATCATGATGCTGACCATTTACAGCATTATGTTAGTATGTTACTATCAAAACAACAACAATTTTCTAGGTTCCACTGATTCACACTAACCAACAGAGCATGTGGTACTCAACTTTCTCTCCCTATTTTGATGAGTTACAATTGTTTCTAACAGGACAAGCACATTTTCGGACAAGGTTTGCTAGATTCAAAGCAGTTCCGGAATAGTTTACTTCAAACGACCAATCTTAAAATTATGATATTGAACTACTTCAGCTATTGCCACTTTAGAACCAGTTTTGTACCACTAGTTATAAGTTCTAAGCAAATTAGACTAATGCAATAACAATCAGAGTTTATGTACTCTAACTGTAAAATCTTTTACACTCAACCAGTCAGAAATCACTTTAAATATGAATTGTAATGAACAGTGTAAAACAAGCTTTGCTCAGTCACTTTCTATGACCTTGTGAACTTGTATTGAAGAAAATAAAATCAAGGGAAGGGTCTTATTTATGCATATATCAATCAAGGCAGAAAATTAAGGCCTTCTTACGCTGTGGTTTCTTGACCTCCACCCTGAGTGCCAGTGCTGACAAAGAAGCCAGCAGGCACCCCTGCCAGCTTCTGCTCTCTCCACAACTGACCAGTTGAATCGAAAAACGCCTTCATCTGTGCTGCCATGCTGCCAAACCTTGTTGGAAATCCAAACAGTAAGCCATCAGCCTCCACCAACTTGTCAGCAGTAATGAGTGGCACCTTATCATCCTTCTCAGGTGCCTTCATGAGTTGCAAGACCTCCTCAGGAAGTGTCTCCAGCACACGGTACAACACCCCTTCAACTCCTTCAATTGAATCAACCCCTTTCTTCAAGGACCATGCCAATGACTCCACATGGCCATAAGTTGAGTAGAACACAATGAAAATTTTCAGCTTTTTCACTGCTTCATGTGCTGGTGCTGGTGCTGGTGCTGTTGCTGGCCCTTCTCGGCTTGTGCCATCATTTGCTGGGGTTGGACTTTCAACTCTAACTGGATCCTTTTCTGATCCAGAAATCGGTGCCTTTGTCTTGCTTGGAAAGCAACCACCTCCTTTCCCCATTGAAATTCAAGTCTCTGAGAATACTGTCAAATATATTTTTGCTTATGAAGTTTCCAAAATATGTACAATATAAGGTTAATCTTGTTTTACTTCCCAAACAAGATACAATGACGGATATTGGGAGAAGAAGAAAACAGATAGAGTAGAATAAAATGTTGGTTAACTTTGCATTATAGGCCTGCCTAAACTGCAATTACAAAACAAAAAAGAAAAGAACAGAAAAAAGGGAAGAGAGATGGAAAACGTGTAACGTGAAGAAGATTGGATTTGACTTCACCTATGAGCTGCTTTAATTATTAAAATAAGATGAATTAGAAATTGGCTATTGGCTGGCATGCTAGTTCTATATAGTAATTATAACTTTTATAGTAATTATAAAAGGGTATAAATTTATCATACATGGTAAACTATAATTAGAATACATAGTGAAAAACAGTGTAAACACATTATCTGTGTTCTTATTCGTTTGTTGGTGAAAGAATGCAATGTGGCATAACGTGTTCTTATGAAAATCATAGCAGCATAATTAGACAAAATGGCAAAGAATCAAATGATATGTTGTGTGGACTCACTAGAGGTTAGTTGGCGCCTCTAACAATACTATTAGTAAATGAAAATTTCTTTTTCATTGACAGTTTCAAACTAGTATTTCTTAAAGGATGCTATTTCTTTTTTAGTGGGTGGGAGGTAGAAACTGAGAATCTGATTATTTTTTTCCTTGACAGATAGAAATTAATGTCTATGAAAGAATATATTAATTTTCTCAATGTTGTGTAGCAAACCATTATTGCTAAGTTCTACCTAACTAATTCAGGATTGGATTATTCCTTGTACATGCAAGTGCACAACCTTTCAAATTTCAAGTCAACAGAGACTTCATTTTTCAAACATCATTGTCATCAACTACATTTACATAAAATCAGTTTAGTATCTTACACTATTCTTTGTCTGTGTTTAACAGCTGGTGATGCAGTTTATATGTGAGTGGTGGAAGAATGGACCTGGTGTGTGAAAACGTTAACCCATTTTGGTATTAAATTTCCTCTAAGGTTGTTTCAAATGTTCTCACAAAAAATGGCTTCATATCTTCACAACAAAATGACAAGTATCACTTTTGTTGCAGTTTCCATACTGGGAGAGGATCTAAGCTTGTTGGTCCATGAATAATGATCATTGTGCATCATACTGTCTTCCATTGCTCAATCATCTTTTGATGAGCCCATTGAAATTTGCTAAATGTTGACTACCCACTAATTTTAACATTGTCAAAATTATTTTTTGATTTTGTTAAATTAAACTGTTACAACATGGGATATGCTATAAATTAAACTGTTAAAATTTGTGTTCATCAACAGTTGAACAAGTTAGTCAACTCATTGTTCTTAATCCATACTTTTAAGCTTGTTCTACAAGTGTAGTTTTAATTCATTTTTTCTCAATCAAGTTTTCTTCCTACTTTTTAACAAACAAACTATCAATGTCACTCTTAATCTTTTCTTCTAAAACAAACAGAGACTTTAGGTGGGATAAAATACACTTGTCTTAATTTGGAGGTTGAGAAATAAGAGATTCTTTTAATGTCAAACAAAGGGACCCATAACATGCACCCTACCTATGCTATTCAACCCATGTGATTCAATCAATATGCCAATCACATGCATGAATATTTTTTATGTGTATACATGCATTAATTTTAACTAGTTATATGTGAAGGCTAGCTTTAATTATAAATAAATTTATTTCCTACATGGACATTTTTTATAGTACTCATATGAAAATAAATTATATTTTTGGTTCTTACCGAATAAGTCATTGATGAATCAGTTTTTACTGTTCATCAAATTATAATAATGTAAAATTTGATTTTTTTAATTAATTTTTTAATTCTTTTCGTATATTTAATGTTTTTTTATTCTTTTCTTTTATGCTTGTACATAGGACAGGGTTGCAAGACCCCGTTGACTTTATAGGTAAGAACAGTAGGATCAAACTTAATTTTATAAATACTTTTTCTTTTATTTTAAAAAACAAAATTAATAAAATATGATATTATTTTATTTTCCCAAATAAATACATTAAATAACTCATTTTTATTACTATAAAGTTATTAAAATTATTTTTAACTTTTGTCACACATTTTTATCATCATACATGACAATTTTTTTATTTAAACAAATTTTAAAAATTAAATTATCAAACAATTTTTTTAATTTATTTTAAAAATAAAATATAAAATTAATTATTAGCATAATTATTTTTCTATAACAAATCTTGTTTTTCTATTTTTCTATTATTTTTAGTTATGACATATTCTTTCTTTTCTGTTCTATGGGTTTTATATATATATATATATATATATATATATATATATATATATATATATATATATATATATATATATATACTACCGCTTGTAATCCTTTTTTAGTGAGTGAATTTTAATAAAAATAGATCAATTTCATCGCACATATATGAACAATAAGATGATATCAGATGTTATTCTTTTATTTCTTCCTCCATTCTTATGACATCTGAATCCTATACCGACTTTCATACTAATTTCTCAAATCTCTTCTTTCTTCCTTCTAATGAAAATCCTACTCTTGTTCTTGTCTCCACACCTTATTGGATAACATGATTATCCAGCAAGAACGTTAATTACATTATGTTCTTCGCTCTTTAGAAACTATTCTTGATTCACAAGCCCTGGCTATTATTGCTACTCCGAATTTGCAGTCCAAGAATGATGATACTTTCTATAGAGGACGAGATAGATGTCATTTCTTTCTAAGGGGTCATGACAAAAATAACGGAGGGAGAAGTTTCCATGTTAATAAATTTTGCACTTATTATGAACGCACAAATCACAAATCACACTGTGGATATGTATTATTTCAAGCAAGATTTTCCACCAGGATATCAAAACAAGTTTGCTCACATGGCCAATAATGCCGCTTCTGGTGCTTTTCCATCTGACCTTATTACTACCAACGTCTCCAACCTTCACCAGATCTCACGGCTAGTGCCTAAATTTACTGAAAAGCAGTATCATGACATTCTAACTCTTTTGCAACAATTCCAGTCTCTTACACATATAACAATTTCGGTGTTCACTTTTTGATTAATTCTTCTTCCACTCTTCCTAAAACTCCTTCTATTCTTCCAGTAAAACATCTCCTCAGTGGCTTCTGGATACAGGTGCCATTGATCACATCACTTTTGATTTTCACAGTTTTGTCACTTATAAATCTATTCCACCTATTTTCATTACTTTGTCAAATGTTGTCCAAGTTTTCACTTCTATATCTGATACTATTATGTTGGCAAATTCCTTAATTCTTCATGATGTTCTTTTGGTTCCCAATTTTCATGTAAATCTGTTTTTTGTTAAAAAATTGATCCAAACCTTGCATTGTCATCTCCTTTTTTAATCTAACTCTTGTGTTATTTTGCAACAAACCTCCTAGAGGATGATTGATTCGACTAGGTTGCACAAAGGATTGTATGTGCTAAATCGGTCTCACTCTTATTACAACCATCATTCTGTTTCTGCTCATACCACTATTACCAAACCCAAAGATGTTTCCCTATTGGCCTCATAGATTAGGTCATATCTCTGACTATTTTTCGTATTATTTCCCAAAAATATCCTTTTATGCCTTATTCTATAAATCCCTCGCCTTATGATATTTATCATTTTGCTAAACAACGCAAATTGTCTCATTATAGTAGTAAAACACAGTCACATAAAATTTTTGATAATATTCATGGGGACATATGGGGACCATATTTTGTACTTTCTAAATTAAATTTATGAAATCCAAATCTGAAACTCGCACGCATTTAATACATTTCATTTCATTGATTGAAACTCAATTTAGTATTAAACTCAAAGGTTTTCGAAGTGACAATGAAGTAATTTTTTTTAACTGATTTTTTTTCATCCACAGGTATTCTCAATCAAAGAACTTGTGTCAAAATATCTCAATAAAATGGTGTTGTTGAACGCAAACATTAATATATTTAAATTGTAGCTCGAGCCTTGTTTTACCAAGTTCAACTACCTCACATATTTTGGCTTTATGTTGTTCAACAAGTTGTTCATATCATTAATAGATTGTCTACTCCGTTATTACATTTTAAATGTCCTTATCCTTTGTTATATGATAAACCACCTAGCATGATCCATTTAAAGGGTTTTTGTTGTCTTGCTTATGCCACTATGCTTCAAAATTACAAAATTAAATTTCAGCCTCGCGCCAGCAAAGCTGTTTTCTTAGGATATAGGGAAGGTACTAAAGACGATATTTTGTATGATCTTTATAGCCATCAAATTTTTCTTTCAAGAAATGTCATTCTTTATGAAATTGTGTTTCCTTTTCATTCCTCCATCACTCCTTTCTCAATTACTTCTATTTTTCCTCTATTATCTGATATATTCTCTCCTGCAAATATCTTATCCTTACCCGAGCCGATTCGTCACCCTCCTACTACAGACATTTCATATAGTATAAACTCTAACCAGGATCTTAGTTCTCATGCCCCTCCTTCTCCTCATATTAGACACTCCACCCGATCTCGCAGACCACTTTCTACCTAACAGATTGTAATTTCGCGGTTGCTTCTAATAGTTCCACACATCCTCTTAAAGGTACTTGTTTGCATCCCTTATCCTCAATTCTTAATTATTCCAAATGCAATTCCTCTTATAAAAAATTTTGTTTTGTTGCTATTAATATTTTTGAACCTACTACTTTTTCCCAAACATCTAAATTGTATTGTTGGAAAAAGGCTATGAATGTTGAGTTGCAAGCTTTACAACAAAATAAAACATGGTCTATTGTTGATCGCTGTTGAATTATTAACAAGCGTACCAAAATTATCAATCGCAGTATAGTATTTCAATTAAATAAAAGTCGATCCCACAAGGAACAGTTTTAATGGAAATTCCTAATTATGCTTACTAAGTGGATTAAACAGATTGAGTTTTGCAAATTAGA